AGAACAGCCCGAAAGGAATTTGAACTCGTTTCTGTGGTGCAATAGGGTGGGAAAAAAGGGAAGGTCTTCGGCAGGGGCTGTTTCTTTGGTTTTGTGTTTGTTGCAGGCTTGCCTCTAGTTCTCGGGTCGAGGAAGCAGCGCCACCGTGCTCCGTTGCCTTTGTCTTGTTTGTGGGCAGCGCCAACCTCCCCCTCCTCTGGCCATCATTCACGAGCTTCGGAGCTACGACCAGCACCGACTTCGATCGTCCTCTTCGGAGCCAGGTGGGTCTCCAGCACTGGCAGCCCTCCTGCTCTCCCTCGAACTCACGTCCTCCCCCTCCCCCTCCTCTCGTCATCCTCTCCTTTGGCTCGTCCTCCATCTCTTCTCCTCCTATCGTTCTTTTTTTGTATGGGAACCGGTATGTCCTCGTGACCTCCTGCTCCTCGTCACCTCCTCCATATCTCGTCCTCATCTCCACCAGTCCTCATCCTCCTTGTCACGTGCTCCTCGTCATGGAAACTTTGAACTGCGAGTGTATCTCCTCTTCACCTCCTCCCCCTCCTCATCCCCTCCTCATCACCTCCTCCTCTCCCCTTGTTACCTCCTCCATATCTCCTCCTTGTCACGTCCTCCTCCTCATGGAAACGTCGAACTGCGAACGTATCTCCTCATCACCTGCTCCCCCTCCTCGCCACCACCTCCTCTCCTCCTCGTCACCTCCTTCATTATCTCCTCGGCATATGGAAACTTGGAACTGTGATGGTCTCTCCACCAGTCCCGGCATCCTCTGTCTCTACTCCTCTTAACCTGCTCCTCGTCCTCCTCCTTGTCACTTTCTCCTCCTCGTCACCGCCTCCTCCTGCACTTCTCCTCCTCCCGATCCCTCCTCCCGATCCCTCCTCACCGTCAAAGGTCTCGTTACCTTTTCTATGTATGAAGTGCGAGCTGCGACGATATCTCCTCCTTGTTACGTTGTCGGCGTCCTCCTCCATCTCTCCTTGTCCCCGTCCCCCATCACTCCTCGTCCATCTTCCCTCCTCCTCTCGGTCTCTCCTCACCTTGTTTTTTTTTTTCATGGAAACTTCGACATCCAGACTGTCATGGCATCTCCTTTGTCACATCCTTCTCGTCCTCACCTCCTCATCTCTCCTACTCCATCTCTCCTCCATGTCAGGACGTCGTCACTTTCTTTTTATTTTGTTTCATGGAAACTTTTGAACTTCGATGGTATCTCCTCCTTGTCATGTCATCGTCGTCGCCCTACTCGTCATCCTCACCTCCTCCTCCTCCATCTCCTCGTCTTCCTCGTCCATCTCTTCTCCCCCATCTCCCCTCCTCTATCTCATCTCCTCCTTGTCACGGCCTCGTCACTCTGTATCTTTTTTAATGAAACTTTGAAGATTGAACTCCGATGGTATCTCCTCCTCCTCGTTACATCCTCCTCTCCTCCTTGTTACGTCGTCGTCCTCCTACTACTCCTCCTCCATCTCTCCTCGTCCATCTTTAGCCTCTTATCTTTTCTCCTTCACTGTGGCATACTGCGTAGCCACACGGGCCCTACAGGGCCCGTCCCGGACATTCAGCCTAAAAGCCTAAAACTTAGGGCTTACAGGCCCCGTTCATTTCAGCCTGGATGCTGAAAAACGAGGGCCTGCAGTCCCTACTTCGTTTCAGCCTATTTCTGGGTCTTTTCAGACCCAGAGTTTTCAGCCTGAAACGGAGGGCCATTTTCAGGCCCTCATTGTTTCGACCTGCTCCTAAGACTCAGGCACGGAAACAGGGATGCGGAACAGGCCCAAAATAGCCTGTTCCTCACGTACTCGAGCAGGAGCTGCAGCTGCAGCCCCTGCCTCCCTTCGGCAGGCTCAAGAGGCACACCCGTAGTACATAGGAGGTTCCCATGCACTTCACGGGTAGGTAGTGTCAGTAGGCGGAGGTAGTCTTGAGGATTCGGCCGCAGCACTCAGGAGGAGCGCTGCAGTAGTCTTCAGCGCTAGGCAAGTAGTGGTAGCGCTAGCTGTAGTCTTTGGCGCTGGGCGCCATAGCTGTAGCTGTAGTCTTCAGCGCTGGGCGCTGGTAGGTAGTAGATCGTAGAGTGGGAGAGAGACTGGCGGAGGCCAGTGTTACTTACCTGTGGCGCCATTGCTCCAGCTCCATCTTCGTGGTACCTGCATCAAGGCGCCAACTTCACAGGTTAGTACTGGACACAGAGAGAGAGAGAGTTCTTCTTCCTCAAGTCCACCTTCTCTTCTCACCCTCTCGCCACCTGACTTCTCAGACTACGACAGAGAGAGACAGAGTTGTGACTTGAGACTTGACGACATTGGATCCAGACTTGACATTTGGGATTCAGACAGTTCGACGAGGGACTATTTGGGCTTGTGCCGAAGTCTTGGTGTTGACGACATTCCCATCTCCCCCCCTCCTCTTCGTCTATCCCCTTCCTCCTCGTCTGTGCATGTTCTGGGCTGGCGCTGTCTTCCTGTGTGAAGTGCCAGACCCATTCACACTATGAAACGATGATGATGATGTATGTTCAGGGCTGCATTACAACATTGATTGTTCAGATCACTGGTATCTAAGTCTTCCGCTGTGCTATCTTATACCTTGTATGGAAAGGTCGGTTCTTGTTCTGGTCTGCACCTATACGGTATGCAACATCCACCTCTCTCTCCTTGTCACGGCCTCGCCAGTTTTTTTTTTTCCATGGAAACTTTGAACTTGGATGGTATCTCCTCCCACTTGTAATGTTTTCTTCCTCCTCCTCACCTCCTCCTCACCTCTCCTCCTCCATCTCTCTCCTCCTCTTGATTGTCCGTCTCATCTCCTCCTCCATTCCTCTCCTCCTCATCCTTGTCTGTCTCATCTCCTCCTCGCTATTGCTTTATCACTTTGTTCTTTTTTTCCCTTCATGAAAACTTCGAACTGCAATCGTGCCTCCTCTTCCTTGTGCTGTCCTCCTCGTCCTCCTCCACTTCTCCTCCTCGCTGCCGCCGCCGCCGCCTCCATCTCTCCTCCTCCATCTTTCCTTGAGTACTCGTCGCCCTCCATCTTTCATCTTCCTTGCCATGGCCTTCTCACTTTGTTCCCATTTCTGATAGTCCATGGAGATTTGGAAAAGCATTTGTTCCCATTTCTGATAGTTTTTTTTTTTGTGTGTGTGTGTCTGATTTGGAAAAGCAGTGAACTAAGTGAAGTGCTATTTTCGTAGGGTTTTAGGGGGTTTAGGGGGCTAGGAGGGGGTGGAACAAGGCTGATTTTAATGAGGTTGCAGAGGGTGAGTGGACTAGGAGGAAGTGGGGGGCAGGGGAGGGGGGGGGGTGTTTTTTTTGGGGGGGGGGGGGGGGGGGGGNGCCAGACCCATTCACACTATGAAACGATGATGATGATGTATGTTCAGGGCTGCATTACAACATTGATTGTTCAGATCACTGGTATCTAAGTCTTCCGCTGTGCTATCTTATACCTTGTATGGAAAGGTCGGTTCTTGTTCTGGTCTGCACCTATACGGTATGCAACATCCACCTCTCTCTCCTTGTCACGGCCTCGCCAGTTTTTTTTTTTCCATGGAAACTTTGAACTTGGATGGTATCTCCTCCCACTTGTAATGTTTTCTTCCTCCTCCTCACCTCCTCCTCACCTCTCCTCCTCCATCTCTCTCCTCCTCTTGATTGTCCGTCTCATCTCCTCCTCCATTCCTCTCCTCCTCATCCTTGTCTGTCTCATCTCCTCCTCGCTATTGCTTTATCACTTTGTTCTTTTTTTCCCTTCATGAAAACTTCGAACTGCAATCGTGCCTCCTCTTCCTTGTGCTGTCCTCCTCGTCCTCCTCCACTTCTCCTCCTCGCTGCCGCCGCCGCCGCCTCCATCTCTCCTCCTCCATCTTTCCTTGAGTACTCGTCGCCCTCCATCTTTCATCTTCCTTGCCATGGCCTTCTCACTTTGTTCCCATTTCTGATAGTCCATGGAGATTTGGAAAAGCATTTGTTCCCATTTCTGATAGTTTTTTTTTTTGTGTGTGTGTGTCTGATTTGGAAAAGCAGTGAACTAAGTGAAGTGCTATTTTCGTAGGGTTTTAGGGGGTTTAGGGGGCTAGGAGGGGGTGGAACAAGGCTGATTTTAATGAGGTTGCAGAGGGTGAGTGGACTAGGAGGGGGGGGGGGGGGGGGGGGGGGGGGGGGGGGGGGGGGGGGGGGGGGGGGGGGGGGGGGGGGGGGGGCGGATGGAGGGCGGATGTGTTCTTTTGAGTGGACGCAGGACATGGCTCATTTCGTAACTTCTTTTCTACGGTTTTGTGCACAGGTGGCGGATGTGTTCTTTGAAGTGGACGCAGGACATGGCTGATTTTGTGGCTTCTCTTTTGCGGTTTTGTGCACAGGTCACGATAACGAGACTCAAGTACAGCACCATTTTGATCAAGCGGCATTGCCATGAAGACGGGGTTGCATGCCAGCAAGGGTGCCAAATGGTGAATCTGCAAGTATTGTGACACCAGATTCTCAGGCACCCTGGATTGTGTTCCGAGGGGAAATGCGGGGTGGAGATAGTGAAAACGCATTGACGGATGAAGAAAAACAATTGCGGAAGGAGGGGTTAAGGCAGGCCCTGATCCGTGTGACAATGCTGACTGATGGCCGCCGCAGTCTTCCTAGTCTGTACAGTCTGTTCGCTGCATCAACAGGTGTGACGAATGTGGGTGGGGATAGACGAAAGGTGATTGCTGCATTCACCTTGTAACGCTTATGGGAAAAAAAAAACGATTCCGGACGGGAGGTGAACTGCGCGCGGCTTTTGCGGTCCTGTAGGGTACGGGTACAGGCCTGTACGGAGGTTGGGGAGGTCCTGGACTGGACCCCGTACGGCACAGCGGACAGTGAGGTTGGAAGTATGACAAAACGCCAGGGAAGTGCAGAGGAGGAACGCCAAGGTGGAGAAATTGCGGAGCACGAAGAACAGGCAGAGGCCAATCAGGAGAAAAACGAAGCTGACGAAGGCAGTGTAAGATTAGGAGGGTGGGGGACGAGCAGAATTGCAGCAATCCGATTACAAGAAAGCCACAAACGGGGAGGGCAGACTGGAATCAAAATCACCCTTGAAGTGAATTGGTTGTGAAAGGTGCACCTGTCATGGCCATGCTGAACTGCTTGCTGACGCATGCTTTTCCTTTCTTCTGTTGTATTCAAGTTCACGTGGAATTATGTGATGCATGAAAATGTGAAAAACACTTTATTGCCTCTGGGCTTCACGGGTAGACATTAACTATGCGAAGCAACCCCCCATTTTCCCGGCCTTAATCAGGAAACAACTAAAGTCAACCCATGTTCCTTCGGAGTTTAGGCGACCACACCCTTCGCCATGCAATTTTTGCTACAGGTGCCCTTGCAAAACTCATTCATTCAGGAGTATAGCTTAACCTGGATGGGCTAGCACACTCTGGTTCAGTAAATATCCCGCGCAGTGGTTACGGGCCAGGGGCAAAAGATAGATATGTGCTTGTCCGCTGACAGTGCGCTGGGTTTCGATGGTTTCTGCAAGAAACTGCAAACATCTTCACTGGCGTAACGTAGAAGTGGCATCCGAGAGTGTGCTCAATTTGCCCGTTGATGACGTTTGTGTGTTCACACTTCGAAGTTAGGTGGTGAACATGGGGTATACCTTGTAGTGTCCTGACAGTGCTGAATGGTTTGGCTGTTTTGGGGTTGTGCTGGTTGGCGATGCAGATATGAACAGTCAAGAGCAAGCAAACGGCATTCGTATGGTGTCTGGCGGGACAGCATCATCTCCTATGCGCGTACCTCCCGGGTCGGTGCCCCTCGCACATACATACTCGGCAGGTAGTGGGGGGCGCTCGTCAAATCTCTCATCACCGACCAAGGTAGGAGGGAGCATGTCCGTGGGGTATCATGGAGGAGGGTACACAGATGGAAATAACAGTAGCAGGAGCGCTCTTTCGCTGTCCATATCGTCAGGTCCTGCCGCATCGCAAGATGCGAGTCCATCCAGTAGCGGGCAGCTGGGAGGAGCTGCTAGTGGTGCAGGTAACTCAGGAAGTGAAAATAGGCCCCAATATCAAGCATCCAGTGGTTCGGTGCCCACATCGCAAGCCCCATCACCCTCGTCATCGGGGCCTGTGTCTGCGTCACATTCTTCTGTGCCTGCGACAACAATGGGCTTGGTGAATGGGGCTGCCACATCACCGGCAGGCATCATGGGGTCAGCACCAGCAGCAATTGCGCAGCCACAGTCGTAGTGGAGATGGTGGGCTCAATGCAGCTAATGACCTGTATGGTAGATTTTTTCTGTCGGGGAAATGAGGTCACTCTGTGGAGATTTGAATAGCGCATTTGCCTGCGTTGCACACAGGTGCTGGTGCCAAGGAGGCTGTACAGGCTTTGTGCACCATGCTTGTTGGCATGCGTGTGTGTGTGCCTGATGTGTATGACAAAAGAAGTGAGAGAGAGACCAAGAGTCTCACAGAGAGAGGCAGCGAGGGAGAGAGTATGTGGGGAATTTTGGTGCAGGTTGTAAAGAATGGCGTAGCGTTAGTGTAGCAGTCTTCGGTGACAGGTATTTGTGAGGGTGCGACAGATGCTGTGGGAACGGATGATGTGTGGTGCTCCATTGAGGAGTGTGATTATGATGTGTGGTACTCCATTGAGGAGTGTGATTGTGACGGAGATCATCGATTGTCACGGATATCCAAGCTGGCCTATATTTGTTTGGGGTGAAAGCTTAGCGTAAGCTTTCCCTGCCTGGGGTGGGCCAGAGGTGGAAAGGCGTAGAAGTTGGTGCTGCACAGGCTCCACATGTTCCATAGACGTAGTGGCAAATTTCCAGCAAGCAAGTTTGGTGGTTGGCTGCAGCGAGGGGAAGTTTTGGCAGAGGACTTAGCTGGATCATTCTGCTTACAGTGGGACGTGGATTGACGAGGCGGGACAATCGTTCATCGATGAGCTAGTGGGTAAGTGTGCACATGTGTTGGATGGTTGAGTGCCTTGTGTGCATTGTTGTGCACATGGAAGAGCTGTCATTTCCATCAGCATAAGTTCACATGGCACTATCGTAGGGACTGGGTATGGTGATGGAGTGTAGCAGTTTGGTCCTTTGTAGGGACTGGGTATGGCGATGGAGTGTAGCAGTTTGGTCCTTTGTTTGGCAGAAGACGCATGGCTTTGATGTACAGACTAGTATTATGCTCTTGGTTTGCATTATATGCAGAAAGAGTCATTTTTCCACTTCACCATCTCCTGCTTTTGTGCATCCTCTTATGATGCCATTTTCACGAAAGTCTGTCACCTGAGCTGTGCTCGGTTCCTGATGCTGTTTTTTGCCCTGTGAGCAATGTCCTGCTTATCTTCGTCCTGCTAATGTTCTTTCATAATCTCTTTTTTTCCCACGACGACCGTCTCTGTTTGTCAACGTATTTGCTTGCTTTCACGTAGGCCAACTCTTCGTCCTGTTATGCAGCTAAGCGTAATGGTGTAGTTGGTTAAATACAGGGCACATCATTTAAAATCCCACTCTCAATGGGGAAATTGAACCATTTAAAACGCAACTAGCCGGGTGTGGTTGTGGTGTGTTGTTGAGATGAACTATCAGCGCCGTTGCCCCTCTTGTGTGGCTAGAGTTTCATCTTTGGGCTGTAACACGTGCCAGTGGCACAGTGCAGAGTTCCCGATCCATTGTTGCATGAAATTATGTAGCTCTTACGTTTTATGTATGTATTGTTCTGCTAAACCTGGTTATATTGAGTCCTGCTGAGGTAACTATGAGCAGGGAGGGCCACGGCTTTCCCCAGCTTTCCTGAAGCCCCTTGCCCGCCTACAGCCGATCCCTTACCGTGCTGCATGTCCTATACGATTATACATGCTGGGGAGTCGTAGGCTGGTGAGGAATTTGTTTGAGCAGGTAATTAGATCAGGCATCATTCTAAATGGCATTGCTCTCAGCCCGTTCATCAAAGCTGACACACTATGAACGGCATTTCTGCTAACGAGAAGTTTGTGCTGTGGCATGATGGCCTTCCTTCCTTCTGGCCATGTCCATGTGGGTTGATCATTTGATGCCTCTGGTGTTTTGTGAAAACATCGGCCTTCGTTTTCTGGCTCATGTTTGCCCTCCAACAGGTGCGTTCGACTGAGCTACATTCTGCTGGACGAGCGTCTCTTCCATGGCCTGTTCATTTGCTGCATATGGACAACATAACAATTGGTCATACAATATGTGTGGCAGTGGTGGTCAAGTTGCAAACACATACGTTCACGCACTGCAGTGTACGTGAGCAGCGCAGCAAAGTAGTAATCACACTCGTTCACACTCGCAAGAAGTTAAGTTGATGGAACCAACAATCCATTATAAGCGCAGAATGTGTGAGGGTTGTGAGTGAAAGTCTATGGGTTGTCAGCTATTTGTCTCACAGGAAACGTTCCTCTGAAAGAGCAGCATCGGAGGTCGAGGCGGTTGTTGTCGGGGTTTACGAGTATCACCAGCCTGGGGCTGTGTCCGTGGAAATTTTGAGGCATCCCAGAAATCCATGTCGTTTCCTGTTCGGTGTTTCGTTTTTCTGTGATTGCTGCGTTAGTATGCACTGGCAAGGTGGGTTATCCTCCATATGTGGACATTGCACACTCACAGACATGCATTCCAGAGTGAAAATGCTGTCAGCAGACAACTCTGGGTGTGAGGACTCCATGTTCTGCTACCGTCTTCACCCAAATAGAACGTCTCATCGTTAATGCTGTCAGCAGACTAAAGGTGCCCTAAATTCGGGCATTAGTGCTTCTGGTGCGGTATGTATACGGGGGGGGGCGTTCACAGCCTTGGGCAACCCGCTGCTTGTCTATCTGGGTCTACTTTTTCAAGTCAAGTTCAGGAGTGAGCTAAGTAGATGCACATCATTTCGCTGCCTTAGACCACCACTTCCTCTGAGCGTCTTTTGCTGAGACGGATTCCCCCATGCTCTGATCTTTGCTGGAGGTGTTTTTTTTTTTTCTTCTCTGGGGTGTTATGTGCCTACAAAACCCAAAATAGAATTGAAATTAATCAATTCTAATCGTACTTGCAAGTGCACAGCGTGCCACATTGTCTGGTGCGCCGTATGGGGTCCGGTCCGTGACCTCCCCAACCTTCGTACAGCCCCGTACCCGCTCCGTACAGGATTGAACGGGAGGCTGAGTGCTATCCGGTGTGGCCATAACCTGTCCGGAATCTTTTTATTTTTTAATAATCACTGCAAGGTGGGTGCAGCAATCACATTTCCTGTATCCCTACCCACACTCGACACACTAGGAAGACTGCTGCCACCATCAGTCGCCCTTGCCACATGGATCAGCACCTGCCTCAACCCCTCCTTCTTGGACCCCGTCGTGATGGCCATGCCGCTTTATCAAAGTGTATGGCTCGTCATCGTGACCTGCGCAAAAAACCGCAGAAGAGAAGCCACAAACTCAGCCGTGTCCTGCGTCCACTCTGAAAAACACATCCCCCTCCCTCTTCCCCTCCTAGCACTCTTACCCCATGGAATCCCATAAAATCAGCCTTCTTCCACCCCCTCGTAGCCCCCTACCCCCCCCCAAAGACCCCACGAAGATAGCACTTCACTGCTTTTGCAAAACATAAATGGGAAAAAAAGCGATTAATTGCCTTTCACAAACGGAAACAATTGCTTTTCCAAATGTCCATGGAAAAAGAAGTGACGACGACAACATGACAAGGAGGAGGAAGAGGAAATACAATCGGAGTTCGATTTTCAGAGTTTCATTCAAAAAGAAGAAACAAAGTGACGAGGGTGTGACAAGGTGGAGATGAGATGGAGGAGGAAGAAGAGGAGATGGAGAAGGGGGGATGGAGAAGGAGGATGAGAAGGAGGAGGAGGAGAAGGAGGAGGAGCTGTCTCTTATACACATCTAGATGTGTATAAGAGACAGGTGACGAGGGCCTGACAAGGAGGAGATGATGAGATGGAGGAGGAAGCAGAGGAGATGGAGGAGGGATGAAAGAGGATGAGGAGGAGGTGGTGAGGAGGAGGGGAGATGCAGGAGGCCGACGATGTGATAAGGACGATGACAACCACGACGGGATAAGGAGGACGTGTTTTCATTAAAACAAAGAAAAAAGTGATGAAACTATGATGAGGAGGAGATGGAGAGATGGAGGAGGAAAGATGGAGGAGGAAAGATGGAGGAGGAAAGATGGATGAGGAGGGATGGAGGAGGGAAGATGGAGGAGGAGGAGGGGGAGGAGGAGGACGACGACGATGACGAGATACCATCACACTTCGAACTTCGAAGTGTCCAGAAAAAAAAAAGTGACCAAGTTTGAATCCTGCTGCGTACATTTTGGCCAGAGTGTGACGTAAAATAGTGGAAAAATACCACATGATACGGCGTCTGTAGTTCCTTTCGGTTTCGGAAAAAATGGAATGGTAGCGGCTTCGCTCCTTTGATCAGATTAACACAATTGCCTAAAGAGTAACGGAGGCGCGAGAAGGTAGGCTCAAGCTAGCGCTTTGCACAGCTGTAGAGCGTAATGGTCAAAGCCTGCCTGAGGATAAGAGGTGGAGGAGGAGAGGTGAACAGACGAGGAAGATGGACGGGGAGGGAAGGAGGAGGAGGGCGAGCAGACGGAGGAGGAGACTAGATACGATCACAGTTTGAATTCCAAAGTGTCCATTAAAAAAAGAAAAAAGAAATATTGACAAGGCCGTGACAAGGAGGATGAGAGGTGGAAGAGTAGAGATGGAGAGATGACAGAGAAGAGATGGAGAGATGACAGAGAAGAGATGGAGAGATTTAGGATAAATGGACGAGGAGGGATGGAGGAGGACGACAAGGAGAGATGGAGGTGGAAAGGTTAATGAGGAAGGACGGAAAAGATGGATGAGGAGGTGCTGCGGAGGACGACGAGGAAAGATGGACGACTAAAGGTAGAGTAGGTGATACCGACACAAATCAAAGTTTACACAAGAAAAGGTGATGAGACCTTGACAAGGAGGAGGACGAGGAGTACACGAGGAGGAGGAGAATAAGGAAAGATGCAAGAGGAGGGGAGGCTGATGAGAGGTGAAGGAGGAAGTGTCGAGGAGGAGAGATGGAGGAGGGGACGAGGTGGAATCGGAGGTGACGAGGAGATAGTCGAGATACTAGCAAAGCCTCGAGTAGAAGATCCGATAGTATGGAAAAAAAAGAGAAGGACACTACTGAGATGCGGAGGAGAGATGGAGGAGGGGAAGGAGGTGAGTTCGAGTTTGGTGAAGACTCACCTTGGAGTAGGGTTAAAGTTGGCGATGGTTGATCAAGAGCTTAGCCTCGGTGATGATGCAAATGCTGGGGGAGGTCGGCGCTGCTCGTAGATCGACCTGCGAAAACTGCTGCCCAGGTGTTGGTGCTATTGACGGTGCTGCTTCCCAGAGTGGACTGGAGGTGGTTGCAACAACGAGTAAACGGCCTGCCGAATCCTTCCCAGATCGACCTGCGAAAACTAGGAAACGGTCCCCCCCCCAAACCCAAAATGGAATTCGGAACCGTTTTGGGCCGCGCTTGAGCGACACCCGCTAAAATTTTTTGAAGTCCCTAAGACCATTTTTGCTGGGGGGGCGGCCCAGGGATGAATCGACACCTGTTTTTTTTTTCTTTTTTTGAGTTGCCGCTTGGGCTTTTGCGCAGGTCGTGCGCCGCTTCTTTGGGGAGCCAACGGCCTGCAATCAGTGCACAATGTACGCTTGCATGTATGATTCTAATTAAACCGTCTCTTTCAAGTTCAATCAGCAGCACCAAAATTCCCAGTATCCCAACCACTTTATCAACATCCACGAACCAACTATTTACCTAGGCTGGGCTTGCGCTTGCATGTATGATTCTAATTCAACCGGCTCTCGAGTTCAATCAACAGCACCAGAATTCCCAGGATCCCAACCACGTTGTCACCGTCAACGGCCGGGTGGTCCTGGGGAGGTCTCGCCTGGAAAATCCAGGTGGCACCAAGACCCAGCAGGGATTTTTTTTTTTTTTTTTT